CGAGGTGAAGAGTGACGGAGGAAATTTATATACCCGGTTTCTCTCCGCCTCGGTGTTGTTCACCGAGCGTGGTTGCGGCGGTGAACAATACATACCCACGTGGAGTCCCATGTGAGTGCGCGGGTGAGTGCCCGGGTGATGGCGCAGAAGGACTGAGGATGAGTCGCCAGTTCCGCCGATGTGGTGAGTTTCAGAGAGAGTTCGGAAGGGAGTGGCGTTTGTCATTGCGTGTGTCACCAATGGGTACGCCGCGTGCGAACTTTGTGTGCTGTGCGACGGGTGCAAGTATATATGCTATTGGCGGTCAGAACGAGGACTATCGTGCGTTGTGCGAGGTGGAGATTTATGATGTGTTTCGGGGTGCGTGGCGAACAGGGTGCCCTTTGTTGCAGCCGCGACGATCTCTGAGTGGTTGTGTGGCGGGTGGTTGTCTCTTTGCGCTCGGTGGTTATAGCGGACTGGAACCACTCGACTCCGCTGAGTTTCATGACCCGCGATGCCCCGGCTGGTTTGCCCTCGCGTCCATGCAAGTTGCGCGCATTGGAGCTGCTGCCGTCGCCGGAGCCGGTTCTGAACTCTACGTACTCGGGGGCTCCGCCGAACTCTTTGGGGAATGTTACGACATTCGAGCCAACGCTTGGAGACCCCTACCAGCCCCCAGTCCAGAACTGGTCGCAGGAGGAGGGGGAGGGAGACTCGTAGACAATCAGCCGGGACTAGGTCTGACGGGTGCGGCTACAGCCCGTATCCGAGACCAACTGGTGTTGTGCGGAGGTTATGCCACAAATCAACTACCGACCACGCGCACACTTCTTCTTGACCTCAAGGACCTGTCTTGGCGACGTGCTGCTCCGGCACCCAGGCCTCTGGCAGACGCCACTCTCGTGCCCAACGGACCCAGCAGTCTCCTGTCCATCGGCGGACACAATGGCGAAGGCGCCTGCGACATGTACGACCTTGTCCAAGATAAGTGGACAGCCAACACCACCACCCTCAACAAAGGCGAACGCTGGGGACATGCTACCTGCGTTCTGAACTTCTGACTCCGCGCTAACTTGTTCGGACATAAACTAGTCGGCCAAACTAGTGCCCGACTAGTGGGCCTGATCAGTTATCCATTCCGCTAACCAACGAACCCGCCCGCCCGCCCGCATTCGTGCCGAAATTAGAACAAGACAAATCAACTTAGCCTAGCAGCAACTTAGCCTAGGAGCAACTTAGCCTAGGAGCAACTTAGCCTATATTTCAGATGTGTAAATCTGACCGGCTCGTTGGCAGGGTCTAATTCTTTGCCGAGTGTTTCTCACCCCGTCTATTCGTTGGCATCTAAAAAAAATCGGAACGCAAGACCGAAAAATGGAGTGCTGCGAACTGTCTGCGTACGTCGGTGCCAGGAGTGTTGGCTAACAACACCAGGCAGCTTGTTTGGCGGCGGAGGTGATATTCGTCAATGGAGAGGAGGCGAGCTTGGGATCGAACAGCTCTGTCTGAGACACATGTGCGGCGGGGTAGGATGGGTCGTAGGGTGTGCCACCTTCGAATTGTACTGTGACCCATACGGAACCACGAACCATGGTCCCTTTTTTACCCCAGACGGTGACTGGACCTGTCCATGATCGCGAAGAACTATTAATCACTGACATCAGATCCATCGGACTCTCCCCAATAAATTCATGACGGATCATATCAGCATCCCAGGCCTGTACCACCAACAACGGCTCACCCTTCTAAAAGTACCGTGAATTTGATCTGGACATAAAGTGCTGCCCTTATATGTTTCAATTAACAGTGTTTGGTTAAGAGTGTGTTTTCGTCGCGTCGTATGTTTCGCGCGCGCGTGTGTGCTTTTCGCGCGCGTGTGTGCTGTTCGCGCGCGTGTGTGCTGTTCGCGCGCGTGTGCTGTTCGCGCGCTTGTGTTGCTCACGTAGGTGAAGGACAGAACGGTGTCGAACGTGGGGCTGGCGGTCGAGAAGACGGCGTGTTCTGTGCTTTGTTTGGCAAGCTTATTCGGCGTGAGGTAGCAGGAGACGTAGGGATTGAATTTGACCATGGCGGCCAACGTTGGTTTGTACAAGTTCTCCGCCTTGTGCACCGTGACGTGCAGGATGGTTGGGAGCTTCGTACCGTCCGCAGCCAGGACCGTGTCGTTCTTCGATGTTACTTGGTTGCCTGTCAAGAACGCCTTTAGACCGGGAAAAGATGGGGCCATCTTTCTTCAAAAAATTCGTCGATCGTAGGGATCTTAAATGCCTCAGCGCGAAGGAACACCCTCCGGAAAACTGACTTGCCGTGTACGTACTACCGCCAATGCATCCTACCCATGCAAGCGAAGTCGAGGAGTGAAGTCAAGGTGCGAGATCGAGGAGCAATGTCGAAGAATAGAGTTATGGTCAAACGGTGACGAGGAAGTCAAAAGGGCTAACCACCCACAACTCAACTAAGATTTCGCTCCGGTAGAGTTCGCTCCAATGACATGTCCTATACGTCTCAATGCGAAGCTGAAGGAATGCATTAGAAGTATATATTTCAAATGACGGCTGCTAGCGGGATGTTTGTCAAGTAAAAAGTTTAGTGGCCTTTGGTGTCCCCCGTATCGACGAAGCATCTGGATGGGACGTGCTAAGTCATTGTTACTTCTCGACTCAATCACACCAAAGGGCGGCCGTCATTGCGGGCCGCCAGGTCAAGACCGAATTCGGCGCACCGCAAGGTTTAGTGCCGCATGCATATCCATTCAAGACTTCCACCATCACGGATCGCGGTCGGCACAAATCGAACAGGGATCAAACAGAGATTCGCCTGCAGTGCTACAATTAAGCGATCGGCCTGTTCTCATACTTTTCCACCGCCTTGGCTCCTTCGGTGGCTGCGTGCTTGGAGAGTTCTCCGGGCAACAAAAGTCTGACGCTCGTCTGCATTTCTCGAGAGCTCAAAGTCCGTTTCTTATT